TTTGGCTGCACGTAGACGAAAGAAGTTGGACTGTGGAGTTCAGCAGTAGACCTGCTTCTCTGCCCGCGCGGAGAGAAGGAATGATCACAGGCCGCTAACTTGCTGAGGTGTCAGAACTTAGAACCAACACTCCAAAAGAAGCGCAGGGAAAGGAACAGGCAGATAAGAGAGAGAGGGAGGGAGAGGGACGTCCTGTCCAAAATATGCTCCTGTGGGCCGCTCACAGTGCAGACGCCGCGGGAGAGGAGATGGGCAGAGGACGAACAAAAACAGGAACGACGGATAGAAAGTCGGGCCAGAAAAAAGGATTAGCGATCAAAGAGGGCCGCCGCCCATCCTGAATGCCCCCCTACACACACACACACGCACACACACACACACACACACACACATTCACACATTCACACATTCATAGAGGGAGAGAAGGGGGGAGATTAGAGTTTTTCCATGGGGTTAATCATTTACCTTCCCCTTTGCCAGCAGCAATTTGGCTGTGAGAACCGGCGCCTTTTATGCATAAATCCATTTGTATTAGCTGCAGTAAATGTTAAAAGGGCAAAGAATCACCCCCCTACACACACACACACACACACACACACACACACACACACTCACATATTGATTGATTACGGTGCCGTGATGAGAAAGTTTAAATTTTGTTTCAAATTGGTTTCACAGCCCTTTCTTTAGACCGGGAGACGTGCTTCGGGAAGCAGACATTAAAAAACACAACGCGACATTTCTGTCCCCATCCGGCAGAAAACAGCCCCCACTCAGCCTCCGTCCCCCACACTCTCGATGAGCCGCTGATGAACACAACGGGCTTGGGGTGCCAATTAGGCCGCCGGACCACGAGGCCCCAAATCTCTGGCACGCCTCCGCTTCACGGAGATGGACAGACGGGAAAGGCAGGAGGAGGAGGAGGAGGAAAAGAAAAACTTATTCTCCGGAAATTATCCTTCTCGAGCCTTCAGAGAGACACCAGCGAGCGCACACACGCAGACGCGCGCGCTCACACAACTCCCCCCTTCAGAGGCTTGACCTCCACTAGCTGATCTCGCTCCTCGGCTTCCCGTCGCCCTCCCACCGGCTGACCTGATTGGCTAATGACGGCTCATTTATCTTGATGCAGCACCTGCGGTGTCTACAAGGTGTGAGCGTGCCGAAAAGAGACACACACACACACACATGCTGTACTCACCTCCGCTAGACTAGTTGTGTGTATCCAGCTCTGCCCTTTGCTGCAACAGCGTGCACACATTGGTTCACCTCTAGGGAAATGAAGGAGAGGGGGAGGTGGAGGATGGAGGTGAGGAGGAAGAGGAAGGAGACAATGATAAAGCAGGAAGAATGTGAGAGGAGGAGGGCGGTGGGCAGGGAGAGAGAAGAGTAATGGGAAGGGGGAAAAATAGACCAAAAAAAAACAGAAAATGAAGAAGGATGATACGAGGTTGATCAAAAGAAATGAAATAGACAAAAGGGGAAGATACCAAGAGAGGATGGAATGGAAGTGAGAGTTCAAATGGAGGGGAACTCACTCACCGCTAACAGTTCTTTAATTACCGCCGCTAGAACCATTGCCGCTGTGTGATCACCGCATATGTGTGTGTGTGTGTGGGGGGGGGGGGGGTCTGATCTGTGGTTCACTCGGCAGCGATTAATTACAGAGGAGGCTGAATAAGTGAGGCAAACCAAAACAACAAGCCCAGCAATTCGATGTGCTATATACAGTAATCCCAGCATCCATGGATTACCAATATCACATCAAATCTCAAACACAATCACCTTCACTTTCTGCTTTTTGATTAAGATCTACTCAATAGGGTTGCTAACGTAGCAATTAATTGGAAGTAGGCAGTATACTTTTACAGTAATCAGTTCAGCTGTTTTCTTTTTCCTGGCGCGTCATGTTCAACGGTCCCAACGCACCAGAAAGCCGGGCAGGTAACCGTTGAAAGCAGCATGGACGCCGGTGGAAAATGTGACGGGTGTTACGGCACCTCTGTTCCGTATCCAGCACTTAACATCTCCAACGAACCTGGTGCCGACCAATTAGAAATGAATTTCTGAACCTTGTTTGGAATGCGATGCATGAAATTTGTGGCTGAGAAGACAAAAGGTTGCTGCAGTTTCAATGTGCGTCAGGGCCATGAACTGAATTTATAACTTTATAACTATAACTTTTTGTCCTCTTTGACTACAACTATCATTGTCTTTTTAGCTACAGCAACTGTATATAAATGAAAGCACACTTGTATCGGATCGGTACTTGGTATTAGCCTGTACCTAAAGACAAGAAGACATGTGCGATGGATATTATATTTATCCTCCAATTCCACACATGTCATCAATTGGAATAACTGACCTCAGTTGGACCAATTCTTGATCATTTTACCAAATTATGTGCGTGTGCGTTATGTGCATTGCCATTTCTGGTAGTGGGAGCAGCCTGTCAATCATAGCAAGCCCGCTCTAAAGCAAACGCCAATTTACTTTCTATTCGACCATAATTTACTGAATGAACATCATGCAACCTCGAGGAGGACTTGGGTCCACTTCTAGCCGATCTTACATCGTTTTGAAAATAGAGGTGTCGCCCCCTGCTGGTCAGCAGCGTGCAGTTTCTATGGTCCGAGGTTAGAACGGAAGGTGACTCACCTCAATTAAACTGCTTCATTGCTATTTGCACCAGTGGCAATTGCCGTCTTAAAATGTGCGAGAACATCACTATTTTGATGAAAAACTAACTTACGTCCAGTGCTACGAAATCAAAACAACATTTCTAATGAATCAGTTTTCAATAGATTTGAATAAGGTGACTGAATTCGCTTCCTTGAAAGATCTGGGTCACTGTTTAAAAAAAGTGCCAATTACAGTCTCCTGGGCGCAATTTCACACCCAACCTCCTCGCACTGGTCTCGGTAACTGCCTCGTTCTACCCTCACCTTTGACATTAGAGCGGGAAGTGATTATTTTGTGCGACCACAAGAGGTTTATTGTCAGCAAAACGTGCACACGGCTTGTGTGTGCAGTTTAGGTGGTAGAAACTCATTCCTACAACATTGGCACATTAATATGTCTAAAATGGAACCAATGGCAAACATTTCTTACTTTATCCCGCGTTCCTGCAAATTCCTCCACTCATTTGTCATCTTCTCCCTCCGCAGATTATTTTATTTTATTGATCAAATCACCTCACATGTTACGCCTCCCTCATCCTTCTCCCTTTCCCCCGTCCTCCGTGACTGCGGTGAAGGGTTTTGCATGTATTATTCCTCCTTTTGTTCTTCCCTGTTGGCTCATTGTCAAATAAAAAGAGAGGAAGAGGGCGGTTAGCGGGGGAGACGGAGGGGGGAGAGGAGGTAAAGGACGAGTGGGTCCCCGATGTGACGTCCGTCTTGTCTGTAGGTAGATATCGGAGGCTTCGCCCGCACCCTGCAAATCCCCTCTACCCCCCCCCCTCACACTTACCCCCACTTCCCCCTTTGTGCGCCCCTTATCTTTTATTTCCTCTCTCAAGCCAGGTGCTGCTTATCCAGCCTACCGCACCCCCCCCCCCCCCACACCTCGCCCAATCCAGCTTTATCTCTCCCCCTGCCACCGCAAAAAACTCACACTTAGACACACAAACACACACATATTCATTCTACCTGCTGCCCCTCTCCACCCCCCACCCGCCACCTCCAGCCCCCTCCCCCGAACCTTTCCATATATCCATCTTTCAATCCCTCTGCTGGAGGCAGCTGGCTACCCGTGACCTATCCTATCGCTGCTCTGGAGTCAGGCGGGCAGACAGACAGGCCGGGGGGGGGGCTCATGGACTCTGAGATCTGTATCTTCACTCCAGTCTCGAGGGGCTTAATCCAGCTGCTTGTCTGCGGCGCAGCCAACTATAGCGCTGCAGCCGATTTACACAAATCCATGCAGCTCAAACACCCCAACGAAGAGTCCCGTTTCTATAGAGCCGGCACTTTAAACCCCTCTGTGTTTATTGTACATCATCATTATGCGCAAGATGCATGGTTCTTTTTAACCCCCCCCCAAAACACGGGACGCCTCCCCAAGTCCACCATCCAGGCCAAAGTGTTGGTGGGGGTTTCAGCGTTCAGCTCTTTTCATACTTTATATTTTCCCTCCTTAGAATTCTGCTGCTAAATTTGCATCTTTGAATTTGAATACATTATTTATTTTTCAGAGTGTTAGTGTGGCTGCTGGCTGCGTGTGTGTGTGTGTGGGGGGGGGGGGGGGGGGGGGGGAAAAGGTGGATGGGACAAAACCCCCAACCTTGTTTTAAAATTAATTTTTTTTTTTTTAACCCCCAACCCCGCGGGGGAAAATTTTAAATTTCCATGGAATTTTTGCGTTAAAAAAAAAAAAAAAAAGAGGAAGGAAAAGGGATTTCCAAAAAAAAAAATGGGTGGCTCCAAAACCGTCTTTTTTTTAAATTTTTTTTTTTAGATTCCGTGTGGCCCGTTTTGGGATATTGTATTGTGGGGGCTCCCGCGGGCGTGTTGTTTATTTCGCGGGGCATTTAATAAATTGAGTGTAATCAAAAGGAAAGAAGAAAGAGGGCGATAGAAAAAGATGGATGGGAAAAGACGAACAAAAACCAAAGCCGGGGAGTGTTTGCGGGCTCCATGTGAACTAGTAGGGGAGCGAGACTCACTGCGATTCGTAAGCAGGGCACGTACGGACCGAGCTGAACCCTTCTGGCTACACAAACACACACACACACACACACACTCTAGATCACACCCGCAGTCTGGACAAGCCCGAGCCACATTGTCACATCCTTGTCCAACCTGGATCCGTTCAAAATGTCACCGCCGGCCGCGTTGACCCCTGTTAACAACACGCACACACACGCACACAAACACACGACCCGACAGTTGGAGTCACGATGGCAAACTGTGACGGGCTTTGGAACCCAAACTAAAAACAGAAAAAAAAAAAGAGAACAAAAGTGTGTTTTAGCCGATAAGAAGGTGACACGCACTCACCTCGGACCGGGACCCGGCGCTCCGCTGCAGCTGCACTCCGGAGGACACGCGCACACGTGAGTGCGCAAGGTGTGTGTGCGTGAGGACAATGGGACTGAACTGGATGGAGCTGAGCAGCGGTAGTAGTAGTGGGAGGAGGAGGAGGAGGAGGAGGAGGAGGAGGAGGGAGATGTGGTTGGCCCAGGAGGTGGTGGAGAGGAGAGAGAGAGAGGGAGGGAAAAAAAGAGACCTAGTGAATAATGAAATACAGTAGAAGAAGAAAAGAAGAAGAAAATGTGAAGCGGAGACCCTTCTTGTTCCGTGTGTGTGTGTGCGTGCGTGCGTGCGTGTGTGTGTGTGTGTGTGTGTGTGTGTGTGTGTGTGCGTGCGGCTCTGGAGGGTCTCTTGGTCGCCACCAGAGACTTGGCGTCCTGTCCTCGGAGCAGAAAAAGTGAGCGGCTTCCACGTCTCCTCTCAGTGTGGATCAGCCAGCCTGCAGCATTACAACACAACCTCCTGTCTTCCCGTCTCAGGCGCTCCTCGATCCTCCTCCTCCTCCTCGTCCTCTTCATCGCTCTCTCTCTCTCTCTCTCTCTCCGGGGAAATACCTCTGCCACCAATCTCTTCAAAGGTCTCTCACACAGTCGAGCATCTCTCTCTCTCTCTCGCTCTTCTGCTCCTTTTCGCTTTCTTCCAGTTTCGTCTCGCGCTGGGAGAACAATGTCTTGCCTTGTCACATCATTTTTTGTTGATAATTGAGCCCCAACAGCTTGACGCGGACAAAGTGAAGAGCATGACGCTGCTTTAGAAGATCACACTTGACTTTAGAGATGAAAACGAACAGAAGCAAAGTGACGTTTAAGATAACACTAAGAACACTGAAGTGCGTCTGGTGTGTCTAAAGTCTTATTTCTTTGTGACACTGAGTTCCATTGTGACCCAAAAGCCATTACAAACAACAACGACACGTTCCTCCATTGTTTATTTTGACTAAATCCCACAATTACTGCAAACTCATCAGGGTAATTAGAAGTTTTTCATCGATGACTGACAATAGTCCAATAAAAGCGTTGTTTACTCATTGTTCAAAGGGGTTTACCCAAAAGACTAAATGATGTCGTGCATCATTTAGTCTTTTTTTAAATGTAAATTTACATCTTAGACTAAGATATTGGAGAGGGCCGAAACATGAAGTTGGTTTGGTCTTTTCACGGGATTAAATGAGAACTCACACCAGCCGTACCCTTTAAAAATGACACAAAACATCAGCAAAGAAGGAGGTTCACACACACACACACACACACACACACTCCGGCATTCACTCACAATCACACACGCATACGCACACCCTGAGCTCCCAGTGTATGCATGCGCATAATGGTGTGTGTGAAGTGCCGTACAGCCTCGATCCTCCGGCTCAGCCACGAAGAAGCCAAACTCCACATCCAATTATTTGCTTCTCAAAGGCAGACAGATGGAGCGAGGGGGGAGAAAGCAGAGAGCGTGGTGGAGAGAAGCAGAGTCAAAGAGAGAGAGAGAGGATCTTTGAGGGATCGCATAAGGGGGTATTAATTAGAATAGAAAATAGAAAAACGGAGAGAGGAGATTCTAGTCCGGAGAGCAGTTTTGCAATCAGAGAAGAAAAGAATCCCAAACGGAGCCTGTGGACACTCAGCCGAGGGAGAGAGAGGGAGACGGAGATGAAAAGCCAAATGAAAAAATGGCAAAAGGAGCAGAGCTGCTGAAGTTGTTTGATAAGCTGCCTGTCGTGTTCTATATTATGTTCTAGATTATTTTTCTTCTATGGTTTTGGGTCAACTTACCCTTCCTGAGGCTCTCACTCTCTGTTTCTTCTCCCGGTCCACCTTCACCTTCACCTTTTCTTCTCCTCCTCCTCCTCCTCTCTCCTTCTGCCCTCCGCTGTCCCGGGGTATTCCATCAAAGTAGAGTCGGGCTCAAGGCGTGAGGAGGAGCCGCCGCGCTCCAGACGCACTCTCCAGCTTCTCGCCTTCTTCTCCTCTTCAACTTTTCTCTCTTTCCTCCTCCTTCTCTTTCTCACTTTGGTCGGCCAGAGCGTTAGTTGGTCTTTTTCTCCTGTGAAACAGAGGAGCGGTGATGGCGTGGTGATGGCGTGGGGATGAGAACAAGGAGGGACAAAGACTGACAGACGGCAAAGAAAACAAAAAAAAGGTGGGAAAAGAGCAAGCGTAGGTAGATGGAGCGACGGGGAGACGCAGCTGCAACGGGTAGTGACACATAGCGGAGGTGTGCGTTGCTGCGTGTGTGCAAGTGTGTCAAAGCGCGGGGGGGGGGCGTCCTTCCAACCGGCACACCACCAACGAAGAAGAGGTGGAGGAGGAGTGGATGGACGGATGGATGGAGGGAGCGATACGGCGAGCGAGCCCCCTCCTCCGTTACACACACACACACACACACACACACACACACACACACACACACACACACACGTATTTGCATAGCTCATTATCATTCAGTGCATCTCGCCAGCACACGCATGGCCGACCCACTCAGAGCCGAACCCCGACTGAATCCTAATGGAGGAGAAAGAGGGAGGAGGATGAGGGAGAGGAGGAGGAGGAGGGTGTATTGGGCGAGCAGGTGTCCCCTCTACGTCTATTGTCCCCTGTCGGTGTGTGTCTGTGTGTGTCTGTGTGTGTGTGTGTGTGTTCGGCTCCTTCCAGCACGTCTTCATGCTCACAAACACAAACTTTTTTTCTTGCGGTAAAGCAAGGCGAGGCGAGGCAATTTCATTTGTGTAGATTTCAACAACAAGGCAATTCAACGTGCTTCACATAAAACCATCGAAAACATCCAAACATGAAGCAGGGAGATTTAAAATCAGAGCATGAAAGAAAATCAGCCAATAAACAGATAATAAGGACGCTAAAAAAAATGGAAATAGAATAAAATGCACAGTGCAGTTCCGAAAAGCAGATCTATGAGATTATTGTCGCCGTGATTAATGCGATAACAGGGTTGCTAGTTCAACATCTTCCACCAGGTGGAATTCTGCCTCCAAGATGGTCACAGGTGTGTGCTTTTGTGTTTAAAAAGTACAATTAAACATATGTGTCTAAAATACACGCTTTCTAAAGTGATTACTCGTTAATTCATGAGTTAATTAGGCATCTGGGTCAGTTGCAATGTGCGCAGGGCAGCAGGCAACGGCAACTCCTGGAGATGCAGACGAGCTCCAGGGACGTAGGAGAGAACCCAAGCTGTTGCTGGATAGTTGATAGTTGAGCTCACCTCCTCACACAGAACCGGTTCTGGAACCAGAATCTTGGAGTGGTTTTGGGCTCTTTTGCTCAGAGTAAACGCAGCAAACCCAGTACTCGGCCTTCTCGGAGTATTCTCGGTAGTGTTGAACCCGGATGCCCCTGATGAAAAGAGGATGGAGGTCAGGGAGGTGATCTTTGACCTTTGGTTTCCAACGGAACAGGACTATTAGGCTCCTGGTCCTGGCATGTGTTTGACATCCCATCCACGTCTCCCCGTGCGGACACCCGCAGACAACGATTAGAAACATGTTTGTGACACGTCAAAGAGCACAAGCTTGATCTGGAAGAGAATGTGTTTCCCTCCAAAAGCAATTTACAGAGTCCTCTCGAGCGTTGGTATAAACAATCTACGTCCGCTCCACCGTTATCAATGTAGAGAACAATCAAATCAACTCATTTTGCTCCATGGGTCCACTTTAATGAGATTACAGAGCTGGCAGGCAAGCATCAATTAGGCAGGATTAATCCATTTTGGTGCCAAAATGTACTCTCTAAGGCCAACGGCTGTAAGAATGGCTAAGCTGTTAATGGTTATAATCGACCTACAGCTGTTCACCTTTTCTTGACAAACCGCCTTACTGAGTTAGCAACTTTTTCACCTCTTTGCTCGGCCGTGTGAAGAAACTCCCAGTGGCTTGCTTAGCGCTATTTGTACGCGCACTCCCGGCGCTCCTGTGACAACCAGTAACAACTAAAGGCATCTGCAAGTAATTTGCCATTCACTGTAAGGCTTCGAGTGCGCTGATGAGATTCCTCATGGCGTTGGACCCCGCCGCAGAGAGTAAAGTCATGAAGCAAAATTGGATTAACTCCACGTTCATTCCATTATTGTTGCACTAAATTGCCAGTGATTTAATCCATGCAAGGAAAAGTGGTAATCTATGTACATGTTATTTGAATCAGGGTTTAGTTGTTGTGTTGTTACTTACAGTGACCCCTATTTTATGCTGCTGCTGCAACAATAATGTTTGCTCACACAGGCAATTCATCCATTACATGAAAACAACTTCCCTTTGAAGTCTCCAATATAATGAGCCATGAAGGTCACATCCAAGCGATAAGACACCATCTACCTGACAGATACAAGATACGGCACGAAGGTATTTTTTTTCCTAAACTGTTGTTTTTTCATGATTACTTTCACACAGACGGCAATATTTGCCACATTATTGCTAGAGTGAGGTTTCCTTTTATATTGCAACACAAACAAATCCGATCACGTTGTATCTTCACTATGTTGCACAACGGACCGGACGCTGTGTGGTGTGAACCAAGGCGACAAACTTTATTACTCCTCCCAACCGTGACAGTGGCCCCGTCAACTCCTCACGTTATTACTGTTCTCCTCACACAGTGTAAAGCTCACCAATGGCAACTCACATTGCGTAAAAAAGGGCCTGATCAAATCCCTTAGAAATAGTGTCCCATTGTAGTCAAAAGCCAAATTTATGAGGGACACAGATTCCCAGTTTAGAGAAAACATTATTGATGCGAACTGTTAACAACTAATTGTTTGGTACCCGGGGCACTTTTGTAGAAATAACACGAATAAACATGAATTAATAGACGTCGATGGGACCCCTGTACCCTGTCGCAGACTGTGAGTTGAGTATTGCTGTTTTAGACCTTCAGTAATATTATAGAGCTGGAGAGTTTCCTCACATACAGCATGGATACTTGTTAAGCGTCGGCGAGGAGGATCTCCTGAGGTCGTTTTACTGTTTCATAGAATATGTATATCACACTCCCCCACTTTTCTTTTTTTGCCTAGAGGGAGAATTGAGCTCTCGCTGCCAGGATTTTAAACCTGGGCGTGAATGCAGTGAGGCCCATTCTCCTACTCATGTGGAGGTGTTCATCGTGCCTCATAGTGGCGTTTCAACGGTTCCCAAGCATATGAGACACACTGGTTCAGTGCTCACAATGGGAAGAGAACAGAGAACAGAAAACAAGGCCGTCTGTTCTGGATTAAATGTTCTACTTTCGTTGACCACGAAGCGCAATTTGTTCCTCTTTTTCTCACCTGTCCCTTCCTCTCATTTTGTTTGTTTCACTTATTTGTGATTTGCCGCCATCTCTCTAATCTGTCTGCGCCGTTGAAGATATTATCCTGCCTGGAATGCAAAGACTTGATTGGTTCTATTGGCCGAGTGACATCACATGGGATGGCTAGACTCAAACGCCATTGGTCTGTGCCTAAAGCCACAAACCGCAAAGACAACCACAGTCGGGCCGGTCAAAAGGTGCCCCGTCAGGGTTCCAATCACCACCGCGCGTTTTAGCTTTAGATCCGGTTCCGGATTCAGACCACAGTCTGCCAGTTGGGGACCTCTGATGTAGCCGTTACGAAGCCCACTGAGATTACAATAGTTAAACAGAGCTGTGTGAATATGCTCTAATGTGTCCAGTGCAAACATGCATTCATTTTTAATTTGTTTTTCAGTGTCTTAAACCAATTCAGCACAAATAGCAGAGTAGCTTAGTAAGCTGCGCTTTCAACCAACTCTTCGATTGACTTTAATTGATCTCAAGTGACGCTGTGTGAAAAGTGAAAAGATCTTGTGGGTGAAACCAAGTCGATCTCGACTTGAAGTTGTTTTGTTCCAAAGCCGTTTTTTACTTGTAGAAGTCGATAATTGGGACTTGAGATGAGCGAAGAAATAGAATAGAAATGTTTTTGCTGTTATTTTCTTCCTCCTCTCTTCCATCCATTTGCCTTTTCCTTTTCCTCTCCCGTGTTCTCTTTTGCCGCGATACCCCACAGGTGTCGTTTTGAGACTCATCTTGTCCGACTAAATCTGCGGCCCGGGTCAAGGACACAAGCCCGCCGCCACCTTAACTGTTGCTATCTCTCCCCATCTGACACCTTAGTGACACCCAGGGTGGCCATCAGCGTCGCCGTCACCGACGTCTCCCTTTCCATCACGCTTTCAGTGGCGGTCGTCTTAACTTCCTGCCGGCACGTCGCATCGGCGGCGAAGATATGAGAACTGTCAAGTGCGACACCGTAGGCGGGGGGGGGGGGGGCATGTAAAGGCCAGGCGTGTGCTATTTCCTTAGTGCACGGCCTGCAATTCATTTTATAAATGTCAGACGAAGCCTGCTGTCTAACACGGACCCCCACAAGCCCCCCTCCCCCCTTCATCCTCCCCCACCCCCCCACTTCCACACACACACATACAGCATGATGGGTAATATTCTTATGAGAAATCATTTTGATTGGCTTCCTCTGCCCTTTCCATTGTCTGAGCGACAGGGAGGGGAAGAATATCAATGATACTTGTGTGTGTTTGTGTGTGTGTGTGTGTGTGTGTGTGTGTGTCTGTGCACAAAATACCAACATATATGTCGGCGCGTGTTTGTATCTGTTGAAGGTTTATGTAAGAAGAGGTTAGAAATGCAATAAACCTGTCACATGGAGAATGCTGCTGTCATGGTGTCAACCTGATCACAGCGTCACACACACACACACACACACACACACACACACACACACACACATGCACACGCACACACACCAACCCTTTTATAAGAAGAGAGAAAGGATTACCAGGCGATATTGAGCATCTTAAGTCCTCCTGACTCCCATGTCATGCTGTTGGAGTACCAGCAGCGTGTGTGTGTGTGTGTGTGTGTGTGTGTGTGTGTGTGTGTGGGGAGACAATGTCAGAGTGGCTGCTGAAGAGGCAGCTTGCTTCCCCATTTCTCGCGGTGCCACAGGTTATTTCACGGCCCTCGTTTGTACGTGAGCGTGTATGAGAGGCCTCCCTCTCAGAGTCATTTGCCATGCCGTGGATAAACGATTGTGTGTAAGTGAGCGTGTGTTTGTTTGCGTGTGTGTGTGTGTGCGTGCATATGTTCGTACCGTAGCCGAGGCCCTGATGGGTCCCTAGACACTGAGGATAAGTTACCCTCTGCCCTGGTTTCCATGGCAGCTCCCGGCTTTATTAGACTCTCACTTTAGCCCCCACAAACACACGCACACACACACACACGCACACGCGCACAGCTCATTGTACACTGACAGGGCTACATTGCCACCCCACCCCGAGGCGCTCGCATTTTGGAGCAGTTAAGCAACTTGTCAGGAATGAGAGA